CATCAGAGGTCGCCTAGAAAACGAACCTCGAGTTGGTTGCCATCAGTCGATGCACCCCGACAAGGCCCCATTCACATCTGGGTCTCTTGGTATTGCAGTAAGTCAACCCCCGCTGCCGGCAGGCTATTCTGACCAAGAAAGAAGTGTTCAGGCCTATGTAAGGAGACGTTACTTCCAAAGACCATCAACAAAACGCACCCGACATATGCCCAGACCAGTCGAGACCCTTCCACGTCCAACCCCGTCGGCCGAATCGCAGAGATCGAATCTACAATATATTTCAGTCATGGTTGGGAATTCTGCCGGAGCAGTAGAAGGCCGGCCAGGTTGGCATGAACTGAGCGAGCGAGGCGGAGCTTCTATGGACTCTCTATGGGTTGCCACCTGGGATCAACCTTGTGGGCAATGCTGAGTTCAATGAGCAATAAGCCCGCAACTACTCAAACCATTCTGGCCTCGACAGCAGGTTGGAGCACGGCGGTGATGCATCTCCCATTCATGGTCAGGTTCAATAACGCACGTACACATGAATGCCCCTGGCTGCCCCTTACGAGGCCCAGCGATGACAACACCTAGCGTGATGACCCCCAACAAGACATCCAATTGCAGCTATTCCCAAGCCATGCATGTGCATACATGGATTTCTGCGCGGCAAGAACCGTCACCCCTCATCGTCTGTCGCAGCGCTACTCGGGCTCTAGGGAGGGCTTGTTACTGCTTGTGATGGGTAGTTGGCATACAGCTGAGGTCGTAACTCACATTGTTAGCGTCTATAGGCGGCTTCTTGATCCAGCCGGCTGGGCTCTAAGGCTCGCCATTGTACAGAAGAATAAAGGGTTAGGCTTCATCGTGCTATCAAGGGGTGGGTGGTCGGGCTGTCTACGCTCGGAGGCTTGGACAGCTGCGTTTTTTTCCCTAGAGATAACTAACCTACGGTACCTAGCTAGTCGTAGCCTCTTTCATGGGCTCATGATATGGTTTGCTATTAAGACAGTTGCGTCGGACCTCGCTGTCCAGCCGCTCTCGATAAGCAGTTGGATAACCCTAATGTAGCCTGTGGCATGGTGCGTACAGCGATGCGGATAAATCCCAAAAGGCCTTGAATGCCTGTATCCCGTGAAACGAACTCCAAGGCGAACCATGAGCACAAAATGCCGCAAACATCGTTCTTGGGATTCCAGGCGCCGTGAACTTGCAAACCGCGATATGAAAGTGCCTTGGATGACGTCCTCGTTTACCAACATGCAAGAGAAATCACATGCAGGTCTGCCCTCGAGCACACCCCGAAAGCAAGATGTTTAATTCGTACAAGGAGCATCCGGTAGGTGAGCCAATTGAGGGGATAATTGCCCGCCTTTGTATCCAACACATCTAACTTTAACACATGAATCTTCAAAGCTATCCATCTAAAAATTGTAGACTATCACTATCAACTATAGATATTCTTGCGTTGCTAATTTTAGATCAATTAGCGCAAGAATTCTGTGGTTATAGCCTCCCCCGGTCTTGATAATCGACTCCGCTAGTAGGCTTTAAGCTAAATGCAGTACGTCCAGTATCTTACGTAATTATTAATCCTCATCACAACAAGCGACTGGAGGAGTTTCCGACGCGACGAGCGACTGCTGCAGCCTTGAATAGCCCATCTTCGACATGACGAGCAACTGCTGTGGCTCTGAACAGCCTATTCTCCGGCGCGACGAGCAGTTGCTACGAGCCTGACCTCTCTATCTTCTGACCCGAAAAGCGATTGCAGCGGCTACCTATCCTCCAGCGTGATGAGCGACTGTTGTGGCCTCCTTGTATCTTTATGTCACTGAGCAAGGGATAGGTAATTTTTAGTCACAAGTACAAGAGCCTAGAACATCCTGGCGGCGTCGATTTTTTGCTACTCAATCAAACCTTAGTAGCGTGCAGCTCGTGCTTTTCTGCCTGATGTTTTTTTGACACATGATTTTAGTCTCTGTGGCTATAGGGTAACTATAAGGATGAGGGATTTGATTCTACATCTAAGCTGTTAATTAGGCTGTACAATTTTAGTGAAGATTACATAGCTTATTGCTCTGATCAATCTAAAACTAATAACACAAGAAGGTCTATGGATAGCAATAATGTTCTACTAATGATCGGGCTTTAGGCCTAATAGATGAGACCTAAAACGCGTCTGTCGTGTCTGTCGCGGCTGCTTCGCGTCCGGGTGAGAATTTGGATGCGGTTACGTGGTTTTCCATTTCCACTCGTCCCAGCTTTCCACAACTTATTTTCATCAATCGGTAATCTCCAACTTTAGAACAGCCTATCTATATCTCTCTCGCAATATGTGATAGCTACAAGCCCGACCCAGCCGTCATCGCGTGGACCCGACCCGGCTGTTTCTCGTTATGACGGGCGATTGCTGTAGGCCCGGCTACGAGGCCAGTAGCTTAGTAAGACAGCTATTTCGCGGAGAGCCGGCCCAGCTGTCTCTTGTTGTGACGGTCAGGACGTGAGAAGCCGCTGCAATGTACCAAAGGTGCAACACCCCACCGGATATCCCTTGGGCAAGGTGGCTACCTCATGCTAAGACGCGTGCAATGCACCTCCAGCCAGAGTGGATGCGCCCGTCAAAATTAACTCATCATACCTAGACACTTCCGCTCGGAGCAACACTGTAGAACAAGTCCTGACACAGCCATTAGTATTACGACCCAGCGTAGGGTGTACGGGTGACATAAGGCTAGGTACTCAGTGTACCTAGGTGCACGGAGTAACATTTGTTGAAACACGCAGCCTGTAACAGCCGGCTTACAGGGCTTATTAACCCCTAATACTTAGTTATTTATATAAGTTATATTATATAATATAATAATAAGCTTATTTTATAAAAATATAGAGATTCTTATTATACTTTATTAATAATACTAGAGTTTAAATGAATATATTACCTATATTATAGAACTATACTCCTTTCTTATATGTTTTTATCGACGCGATTTCATAAGTACCCTTACAGTCAATGCCACAGATGCCTCACGTATTAGCTTGAACATATATATACAAAGCAAGCTCTTCATAATGCGGTCTCACGCATGGAAAGTGACAAGTTGGAGGTTTCTCATCCAGAACTATAACTTGAGCACCTAGATGAGCCATACGTAAGACATACATCTCCCAAGCCAAGTCTCAGGTTCTCCAAGGGATACGAACCCATAGATCGGAAGTCAAGCAGCATGCGGTCCCGAAAATACCACCGCGACGCAGCAAGAGATGAACCATCATTTTCAAGCCATTGTGTAATTCTACTGTCATGTTCAAGGACTACACTAACTTATGTAGCCTGTATATTGCAACTGGATAGCCCACCCATGGGATAGTGACAAGAACTAACCCCTGGAGGATCCATAGGCTTTTTGAATACCAAGTGTCCCAGAGCTGCTCTACAAAGAGAATGCCAATTATCAGCTAGATGCTAAGTGCTAGGGGTGTTTGATATGCTTACAAGCCAACGTTGATCAGCCGTTTATTCGAACGTCCATCCTTCAACTTCCTTTCCAATAGCATGACTTGCTCATGAGAGCCTCTACTTTGAGGATCAGTGCTTCTTGCGTGAATTCTAGGTCTGTAGCGTGTGGACGTCCTAGAGTATCGAAGGAAATTGGAAAAGTGAACCATAGGTTTAGGATGGTCGTGACAGACCCGCACCCGCACCATGCAGCAGCTTATCTTCTCGCTTCCGACAAAATGGCGAGTCTAAGTTGACCCAGGTTTGTGGGTAGCTGCATCACGGCCGCCTTGGAGGTGCTTATCCCGCATCTTGAATCGCTCTAATCTCCTACAGCTAGGGTAGAATGCTTAAGTTAAAATATGGGGATAATAGAACGAGCTTTGGCAGGGAAATGGGTAAACGCAGATATAGTTGTCGAGCTACTGCGGCGTTTGATATATATTCCCCCCACTCTGAACAAAAAGTACCGCCTAGACAAAGTTTAGAGGACAATAAAGTGATGAGAAGTTTTACCCCGTGTGTGTAGAGGTAATGCCTGAGCCAAGATTGCCTGAAATCAACTGTGAACCTCTGTCGTGTCAAACTTATAAATTTCAGAGCTACCGAGAACTTAATCAATCCTTCAATCCTTCGTCTCACGCTTTTTCACCTTGTCTTAGAATTTAATAGCAAAAATGGATTCTGCAAAGAGGCCAGAGGCAAGCCGTTGGGACTTCAAGATCTGGGAGTCCAAGATCCAGCCCGATGGCAGTTCTCAAGCCCGCATACAGTCTTGTCTCACGGTATTGTGTGGTCTGGTCACTTTAGGCAGACATGAGGCGAGCGTAGGGGAGACATTGACTATCGTCAAGCTAAGAAATACCATCAATATTTCCCGTAGACAACTCAAATGGTAATCTGTTTGCTCACACGTATCCAGCTACGATGATCTGATATTGCTGTCTGAAACAACGTCGTCCTCAAGCATGGTATCAAGAATCTATGCAATGCCATGCTTATTAGAGACTCATACGATGAAATCAGCTAGGTGAAGTTACTAACTTGGTCCATCTAGGAATCGAGTTTATCTCGAGAGACTTCTGAATATCCTAGATTGCGCTATTCCTAAACGCGGCTATGGCCTTCACCCGAGAAAACTGACCAACTAGCATCCAAGATTTCTACAAGAGATAGCCCATATATTTCCCTTATGCAGGTCACCTCTCGCTGCCTTAATGCAATGCCAAAGCTGACAGTCCGCTACAGGGCTGTTGCATTTGGAGTTGCTGTCCTTGCTGGCAACATCGACGTCTTTCGTTTTTCCCAGTTACTTTATAAGAAACCCGTGGCGACTTTTCATAAAGTGTCCGACACCATCAGGGAGTCATTGCCTATCGTGAGATGTATGCATAACGTGGTTTGCGTCAGTTGACAAGCATTGACCGGTGACAATACAAGCATCCATTGTCAGCCCGGAACCTTCACAGATACCACGGGCGTCAGCCAAGGAAGAACCACCGATCAGATACCAGCGGAGATGAAGAAGACCCATAAGGATGATATGAATGCGTTTGTCGCGTGTTTTGGCTCTATCGACGAGACCTACGGGCTCATCCCAGGTACGTCCCTTCGCATCATCCCATTGCCCCTTTCTCGAGGGGTACTTAGATTCAAAGTCTCACTAGCCCATTAACTTCTAGATCGGCCCCAGCCTCATATAAACCCCAATTGAGAGGCAATATGTTCAGAGTTTACTGCAGGGACTGGCAGTACAGCGTGTGCACTGCTAATCACGAGATGATGGCTAGCCGCCAAGCTCTTCAGCAGCAGCAAGTGTCTTTGCCAGGTAATCCTCGAACCAAGAGTCCAGAAGCCATCCCGGGTTGAAGCATCGGCAATTGTAAGTGCTGTGTCCTCAATGGAACGGGCAGCTGAGGACATGACGAGTGCTGCTCCCCCAACAGCCAGCTGAGTCTCTTCGCCCCTGACTTCCAGCTACGCCGTGTCCCTCACCCACACAGCAACAGGCCTATACTTTTGCTGTCTTGGGACGGTCTTGGTCATCATCAGTTTCGATCATCTGCACAGAGAGGAATTTTGGTCGCCTCAGAGACGGTAAGCTTTCCCCCTTCAACTCCCACTTTACTTCCTCTCCTGAGACTAACCTGTAGAGAATAGATTATGAGAGCATCCTGCTAGTGGTAAACCTTTCATGGGCAAGACTCTTCAACACAAGCATCCGAGGGGGGGGTTCTTCCCACAGGTGGCGCTCCAAGGCCCTGTTCGTTCCCGAGGACGAAGCTTTGCGAGGTCGATGGAATCTGACAATTTCCAGCGGCCAACCTCGAGTCAAGGATGCGGAAGGAGAGTGAATTGAGACGGTAGGGAGGTTATCCCCAGATGGTGGTGGGTGAGCACCAAGATCAGCTACGCAAAAAGAGTTGCTTCACTGGAAATCTATGTTGATTACAAGGCGTTGTGTCTTCGTTTTGGCCAAAGTCTTTTGATCTCTACAAATCCTAGATTTCAAGATAGAAAAGGTAGTTTTGTATCTACTGACTGTGGAATAATCACGGTTCCTTTAGCCTTCAATTGTTTTTTATTAACTATGACCAATACCAACGATGCAAATATTGTTTCACTGAAACTGGTTTTGCAACAAAAAGTAAATAGAACAAAGCCATTTGATTTCTTCTCGTTGAGAGCAAACTCTGGTCTCTCGCAGGTGGGACGCCCCTGCTGCCGGACCGCTAGACTGACACCACGCACAACCAAGCTGCAATGACACCATAGGACACTGGAATATGCAGTACTCGCCCCACGCTGATGGCAGCAGGGTCACCTCCGAGGGCCGTGGAGCGAATACGCTGCATGGCTGCTGGATATCTGGTCCGGGATGCTGTGCTCCTATGTCGGCCGGGCGGCAGCGATGGAGTGTAGCATCGGGAAAAGATGGGCCCCGGCAAGGATATTCGATCAGGCCAGAAATGCTTCCAAACTTGTTCTACAAGGGGCTTGAAGGCAGAGCAGCACATAAACGCCGAAAATCTTGTGATACCAGGCCGGCCTCGACGTCACATGGGCTCACGCCAGCTGCCGGGCATTACTGAGCCGTCATTTGGGGTCATGATATCCTCAGAGAATACAATCACGTAGTATGCCGGGAAAGGCCGGGAATAGCGGCGGATCTCTTAGAGTTTTCGGTTCATGGGATCTTAAGTTTCTCGATAACTTTGTTGGATTGTTTGTGGAACATGGAATAAGGCCCGAAGTGGCGATTTATGACATGAGTGTGCCTTGGCAGAACGTGGTTGGAACCTTATCGTTGACAGGTCAGCATGGTGAAGCCGCGAGAAACTGGTAGGGTGAATGATGGGTATTCACGTGTGTGAATCTTACGACGGATCAATGACAAATGGTCATGATGACAATCACCAGAGATTGACGGCGAATTGTGTGGCAAGATGAGCGTGATGGGAGGTTTGGTGATGCGCTAGGCAAGCGCTTATAGCGGGAGAGTAGCGCTGGCAAGTACCAGTACAGCAGAGGCACACAGCCAATCAGGACTGCTTCCATGCCTCTTACTCAGAGGGCCGAATTACGTCACTCGAGAAATGGCAGATGCCCCTTTGGGACCAACTCAGATCAGGTGCGTGCCCAAAGAGTAGGACCCTCAGAGCCTCGTAGCAGGCAAGAAGGCCCGTTTCCATTGTGCAGTTTGTAGGTATGTACTTATTTATAGGACAATGCTAGCTCTAACCGCGTATCGACGCTGCGCCTGGTAATGTTCGGGTACGACGGTCTACCTGCCAGGCGGGAGGGTGTTTGTTACACGACTTACAAAGCCATTATTACAGTCCTTTATTCCCTGACCCAGAGGAAGATGCGCAGGGAATAACATTACAATAAGGACTGAATGAAAAGAGGGTCGATCCGGAGAGATCAGAAATAGACAAGCAAAGTACGGGGCCAGCAACAAGGGCGCCTCATTCGCCGGCCAGTGCCATGTCCAATTCGCAGCTGGGCCAACGACTCAGGACCGAGGCAGACAGGAGGCAGAGCCCGAGTCGGTGAAATTAAACAAAATACTGCAAATCCCGCTCTCTAGCTGCATTGAATGGCAGACGAGAGCGTCATTTTACCAGTCCGGTCCTGCGTGGGGGGAGGTCAGGGCCTGGGCTGGTCTCGTCTCGTCTCGAGTCGGCAGTGAGGCATTTTCCAACATCCCCCTCCCCCATCCATCCATCATCCCCCAAATGGCAAGCCTGCTGAGGCGCCACTGGGAGCCAACTGGAGGGGACCGGCCGAACAGGCTAGGGTGCTTTCTGCATCCCCTTTTTATCCCGTTCTCCTGGCAGAGGGAAGAGATAACACGAATTGGTTACCGTCGGCATGGGTTGGGGGGAAGCGAATAAGCACACGCCCTCGCACCTGAGCGAGCTTTGAAGGAAAGAGGCAATTGCTCCTTCTATCCGAGGCATATGCTTTTTTCATCCTCTTTCAGGCAGACCCTGACAGCTGAGGTCGGAGCGAGTGCATGGAGGTCGGAGGTGCTGAGCCAGATCTTCTTACAATTCGAGATCCCTAGGACGGTAAGTGGGCAGTGAGATACATGTATTTTCGCACAAGGGCCAAGGGAGGACGGAGGGGGGGGGCGCAACGTCTCCATCCATCCGCATGTATGCATACATGAGGATTAAGGTATTTCGCCCGGCTATCCGTCTACTGCTACGCTACGCTGGTTGGAAGGGAGGTGGGAGACAAAGGAAGAAAGCAGGCGAGGCCGAAAAGGCAAGCGTGCATATATGGCAGCAGCGCGCGTGCATGCTGCCGGGGCTATATTGATTGTCAGGTTTATTAGCATGCCCAGGCGGTTGGATGCAATTCCCGGGGAAGCAGGAAACTTCTGACACGTCACTTGGCCCTCTCTCTCTTTTCGAGGGCCAAGAATAGCAAGCCGAGGATTGATCTTTCTGCTGCTCTCCACTGCCATGTAGCTCGAGCCCAACACCACGACAACCGCCCGTTGGGAGGTTTCACGATGCCACGCTCGCAACCACCCCCATCGGCCGGCTGCGCCCAATCACGGGTGCCGGGTGTGCGCTCATGACATGCCGGGCGGTTTGGACAACCGGCAAGAGAGGCGTCTATTGTTCCTCAACGAGGGGGGTCCCTCACGAACCTATGATGTGTGTAGTGCCGTGATGATCCGTAGAACGACCTGGAACCTGCTCTTCCCGCTGCTGGCCTGGTGTTGTTTCATCCCTCGTACGGTTGAGACATGCCCGGCCAGCGCATTCGCGGCATTCCTGCTGGGTCAGACGAGACCGGCGTGGGATAGGGGACAATTGTGCTCTGGTGCCTGGCTGCCCTTTATCCATCGTCGACACCCACCCGCCGTATAGTCCTAGTTTTACCTCTGCTTCGCGGCCATTGTTCGTGGCCCGGCAATTGCGTAGGGCCTGCCACACCACGTTGCGTTGATGAAGATGGGGGACAGGCCCGGCTGGATGGATGGCATTGCCGAGAAAATCAGTCCAGACGCCTCCCTTTCCCGCCTGTCTGTCTCTTCCCATTCCTGCTCTGCAGATGGTGTGGTGTGAGCGCGGACGGGGACGGCGATCTCGAACAAAGCCCACGCTTCCATCCAGCGACCTTGGACATGCAAGAGCGCCAATGGGGGGGACGGCCGGCCCTGCTGATTGACTCTTGGTGTGGTGTTGGGTTGGTGGAGGGCGGCATGTCACTTGTCGCTGCTGCAAGCCACGGAACCAGGTGCCCCAGACTACTGGAAATCCCATGCAGCTACAAACACAGCTGGACGGGATGTCTCTCGATGCCTACCTATGTATGTACGTACTATGCACCGGAGGGGGTTTTGCGGTTTCTGTTCCTCATGAGTCGCGGGCTCCCGAGGCGCTGGCCGGCGGGCATGGTCACAGCGTCGCTCGCATTCCACAGCATGCCGTGGCAGCGCGCATCACTTGGGCATTCTTAATAAACTTAATTATAAGCTCAAATACGAGGGCGAGACAGTGTTCCTCCAGGGAGGGACGATTGGGTGCGACGGGGCCGGCTGCCTCACACAGATGTACATAGCAGAGCCAAAAAAATAGGGGACTTTGGTTAGCCTGGAAGCCGTGCACTAAAGTCTGAGCCCAGCTGACAGCGAAATGTCTCTTCCTGCCGACCTGAACCCCAAGCACGTACGATAGGGGAGGAGAGAAGAAAGACAATAATGCAAGACAGGTGTTAATTCCCGCGTCTCCCTCAATCACGATCCCGTCCCTATCAACCGGTCCCTCGCTCTCGCTCGCTTCCTTCGTACTCGGGTGTAGGTACATGCACAGGAGCGCCGTGTGCGACCTGAAATTTGTTGTGGGGGTGGAAGCGTTGCAGGCCAGCGCTACACTTGTAGATCGGCGAGAGCGACAATCTATCCCTCCCCCCTTGGCCGTAGCCCTATCAATTGGGACTGGGAAGGGCACGATGGATGGGCGGATGACATTTGTTTGCCTCTGGCGCTTGCCTTGATGCAATGTAGTACGCAATCGCATGGGAATACTGTGTATGTCGACGGCGATCAGTGTGTTTCAATCAGCAGCCCCTGGTGCGCCCACGACCCGGACAGACACGGCGAGCGAGGCCATTCGCCTTCATGACGACTCCTGTTGCTGTGCTGTGCTGTGTTCTGTCACTGATGTGCTGGTTCTGTCTCGTTGGCCGTTGCTCCGCAAATATCTGTGGGCTCGCCGTGGGCAACTGACCCAGGCAGCTCCATTGTACCATTTTTTTTTCTCCTTGAGAAAGTTGGATCCCTGCCCTGGAAAGGAGAGAAGGGACAAAAAGGGCTCGCGGGATATGGAAAATAGCCAGCAGGGCAGCCATCACCGCCTATCTCGGCAAAAATCAGAGAGCGGCAACCCTTGTTGGGAAATGCATGTTGACGATGACGATGACGACGGGCGCATTCACAGAGAGTCACGCTGTTGCGTAGAGGAAAAAGCAAGGAAAGAGAGATGCAGCATAGTCACAGATAACCATGTCTGATCTTCACGGCCGCGCATCAAGCCCACGTTGTAGGAGCATGCCGTCTCCATGTTTGCTTGCCAGTTTCAACTTTCAAGGTTAATTGACCCGGCAGTCTGAGCAGCGTGCTTGCTTTTTCCGCAGTGCTTGCTCTTCCGCCGCACTCTGTGATAATCTACGTCCCACGTGTGGGCTTGCTGGGTCGCGATCTTGAATGAATCTCGTCCGGGTTTCAGGACGGAAAACGGCAGGTCAAACGGCCCCCATCCACACCTTTCCTTTACGCTCTCTCTCTCTCTCTTCCCCTCACGAGCCCGCGCCCCTCCTCCTCGCGTCTGCCCAACATGACGGGTCAGGTGGGCGTTCGAGGCGGTGGGAAGAGCTGAGACGAAAGGACTGAGCTGAGGGCCGAGCGTGCCTTCTTATCCGGGGGCCATCAGCTGGAGCGTGGGTTGAGGGGGTGTTCGGCCGTGACTGGTCACAGTGAGTGCCGAATCTCCGTGGGCGGTGGAGAGCAGGCGTCTGGAGGGCGGCCAGCACGGCGAATCGGCGCCGAGGAGATCCGCTGCTCAGTTTTTATGCAGCCTGTGAGGCTTTTCAAGGGTGCTGCTGTGCCGCCGCCATTGCCTGCTGCGAGCCTCTGCCTCCTGGTCGGGGTAGGTGGGTAGGTAGAGCAGAAGCTGAGAAGCAAGTGTCGCGCGACTCACTCGGCTGCTGCTGCTGCACATCGCGGCTCCCCTGGTCTGGACTTCTCCATGTCTTCGTCGTGCAGTAGGCCGGGCCGGTAGCTCCCAGCCAAGGCATCCAGCGGCGCTGCGACTGGTCGGTTGACACAGCACCCTGATGTCAGGGCTGCAGCAGGGGCTCGGGACGTGGGCAGGCATCAACGTCAAGGGAACAAACGAGTTTGTCTCAGGGCCAGGGGGGAGGGGAGGGGAGCAAGAAAAAGATCCGATTCCATTTGTCCCATCTGGGTATTCTGTCAAGGTGAATGCCTGTGCTATGTGGTAGCGGCAGTGGGCGGATGCAGTATTTCATCGAGGCTCCCAGATCGCCGCTGGGAAAAGGCCCGGTACGTAATCTCGAGTGCTGAGATGGCGTCGCCGGGCGATGGCCATCTCTATTTTGTGTGCCGATCAGTGCTGCTAGTGACATGTAGGGCCTGCGCATTGGATGCTGGAGTGGGAGGCTTCGGAGCCGGAGGGGTGTTGGTGTAGAGGTGCCAGCGCGACCTCCCAACGTGTACTTGGCCTCGGGTTTCACAGCGTACTGTACGGATACTGTAGTAGCATTGGATCCAAGCCGGCAGGGGTGTCCTTCAAGCCCCTCTCCGGTGCAGATGCAGAGGACCCCCAAGCCAGAGTCTCATGGGGTGGGAGCGCGCGAGCGAAGGCATGGAGAAGAGCATAGGGGATGCTGGGAAGGAGGTGTCAGGAATAGCAGCAGCTCACGATGCGACGACCGGACGGTGCTGGACGTACTGTGTAGCTAGTACACCCATTTGTTCCATGTGCATTGCAGCACAAAACAGCAGCATGCAAGCCTCGTGGGAGCGGCAGACGGTGGCTGACTGACCAATATTGCCTGCCATCTTCCTCTTGCGGTGCTCATGCATGCTCGCGAAACCTTCCTGGTGACCGACCCTACTCCGGGGACGCCTCCTCCTCTTTTTCTGCCTCTCTTCTCCTCTTCTCTGTCTGCCCGATCTGACAAGTCAACAGCCAGCTCGCGTCTGTTGCTACCTGGCTGCCAATCGCATTAAAATTCCGGGGGAGCAATTACGAACCCATCTCTAGCGCTGGAGTGAGGTCATTAGCCTGGTCTGCTGCCCGTTGTTGTGCCCTGTTCTGTCTTAGCCGCCTCCCTCCATTACGGTCGCTATTTCACACGCTACAAGCGACGAGCTCCAGTGCAGGCCAGGTACTGTCTACAGGTACCACCTGGCAGCCTCCAGTGTCTGAGGTGTAGATGCATGGAGGTGTCCAGGCCGTGACTCCAGTATTTCACCCCACCATTTCTTAGTTGCAGCTATTACCAATTTGCCAATTGTGCTTCATCTCGCCTCGCCTGTCGTGAGTAGGTGTTGCCTATCAATTATCATTTCTGCCTCTTTCGCCCGGTTAAGGTTGTGCTGATTTTTTCCTTCTTTTTTTTTCTTTCAACCTTCCAGACCGCATTATAGTTTCTCTCCGAACCCAAAGGGCCAATTTGCTGCTCGAGAAAGCCTCGTAGGACGAGCGTAATCAGGTATGGCTTCCCCCTCCAATCGTCGCGACGTCTTTATTAGCGCATGCTTCATTCCGCCTGCTGCACATTGGGCCCTGCATTCATAATTCCCACTCACCCCCAATTATTTTCTGTTTACTATCGCCCCGTCTCCTTGGATCAATCACCTAAACCTTTTTCTTCTCCCATTCATCTTACGCTTTGTGCTCGCTCGGCTGCTTGTCTCTGTGCGCAGACATTGTTTGCTTACACCCGCGACTCAACACCTCGCCTTCCCTCACTCTGCCTCGCTTTTGCCTTGGGTGCTGCTACAAAGTCACTCACACATTACACCATCAGCAGGTCAAGGCGACACCAGACCGAAGAGAGAACAGAGGAAGAACAAGCAGGGTCGCATTTGCTGTCACCAACCAGCCGACGCTCCTGTCTCAGCATCTGGCACGGAATCGACATAGCTCTTGCTCGAAGCAGCCGGCCGTATTCCCACCCGTCTCAGACCGTCTCGAGCGATTCTGAGACAAGGCTGTGGCTCAGCGAATCGGTTCAGATTTTCTGTTTAAACGTGAATTAAGCCCCGACTCACATCTGGCATCCCTTGTGGATTCTTGTTCTTATTCTTATCCTTAATTCAGTCCAGGTGATTCGCCGGGACGGTATCGATGTTTAATCACCATTTCGATCACCCTTCCCTGTCAATCATTCGCCAGCTCGAAGAAAGGCATTCCTAGTCACTGCCCCCCGTCGGCCTCTTATAACACTGCACGACCCCCCCCGCGCCCGACACCACGACGGACCCTCGCATCAATTCAGATTTCCCGTGGCCAGACGAGCCCATTCAACATTGTGTGTGTGTGTGTTGGTCATTTTGCGGAGCGGCAGGCAATCAGCGCCGACATCGAGAAAGAGCACCTCTCAACGAGCGATACACCACGACTAGCACTGCTACGAAGCGGCCACGGCAGTGACACCGACACAACGGTACAGAGCAGCGAGCCGAAAGAAGCCTCGCATCCCGACAATCAACGACGACATCGACAGCAACGCCCCTCTACGGCTCTAGCGACCGACGTCGTGCATTCCAGCTTTTTTTTTTTTAAACCTCCTTGGCAATCCGCTCGCCTTTCCCCAGCGTGCACCGTCATCTCCCCGGCCTTCGTCTCCCCAAAAAGGGAAGCGGAAAAAGAACGAGTGACCAGCTGCCAGGATCCGCTAGACCGAAGTAGGACTGGATCGGATTTCGAAATGGCGCTTCAAGGCGGAGAATCAGGGATAATGGCAGCCAAACCGCAGCCAATCCCCGGGACGCACGGTACGTTGATCTTTCTACTTGCGGTCTTCCCTTCTCCATGATCTTCACTTTATTGTTTGTTTGGGTTTTTTTATTGCTTTTCATGTGCATTTTTTTTTTCTTTGGGTCGCTCTGCATCACTCCCAACACCTTGCCCCCCCAAGGATGCACCGCAGCCACTGTCTTGGGGCGGGCGACTAGCTCGCCTGGCTGACGGGTTAATTGTTGGTCTCCACGATGCAAGTGGAAAGTACATTCGGTGGTACCTGCCCCAGGCCAACTTGACTTCCCCAAAGCTGCAGCTCCACCAGTGCGCGCTAGCTTGACGGCGCCGCTAGCGTGTCGCTGTTGCTCAGCGCCTGTGAGGGCTACGCTGCGCTCTGCTTCGGGTTTGCTACCGATGCTCGAATGCACCATCTCAAGCCTCTGAAGCCCTCGACAGACCAATCGGCCCCGGCGATCCCCCCACCACCCATCCATCTCATCGTCGGTCACTGGATGACCACAGCCAATGCCTGCTACAACACGAGGCCGTGCGGTGGACGGCGCGCTGCGAAGGTGCCTCCTTGGAGATTGTTTGCATCGTGGGATGTCTGGTTGGCACGAGGTGAAGGCTGCAGGCGATCCCAAAGCCCCAAGCCCATCTTACCAGTTTCCCCACAACGGCCAAAAACAGCAACAGCAGGCGCCACCAGGCAGAGCAAGTGCGATGCGGTCTTGATGTTGCGTCCTGGGTTTGCGTCCTTTGGCCCAGCGTCATCGTCCCTTTCTCCGCTTCGGATCCGTCACCAGCATCCATCCATCCATCCACCCACCCATCGTCTATTTACCCAGCCAGTGCTCTGCCCTTGCCTGCGCTCGCACCCACCCCCATTCACCGTCGGTGGGCCAATATCCATCGCCAACCTGCTAGGTGGTGAGTGACGTGACCCTGCCTACATCTGCGCTTCGCTTGGTCTGGCTTGGCTGTCATTCGGTGCCCCGCTGGCTGTCTGCTTGCTCTCGAACTCAATTCTGCCAATTGCCCCTCTCCCACCTCGGGTTCGCTTGGCCCCTGGAACCAGTCTGCGGCCCTCGCCTGGGACAGTCCTTGGAAGCAGGAGCAGCAGCAGCCAGATCACAGGGCCGGTGCATTTCCGGGGCCTCTCGACCAATCCTGGGCTCTCCTGGGCTGGTCGCTCGGTCACCACCACCATCTCATCGCCTGCCCTCGGCTCCAGCGCGTGCACCATCCACTGCCCCCAACCACACACCCCTACAGAGACCCTCCTCTACGTACCGACAGGCTTCTCTGCAGGCTCTCCGTTCATGCTGCCACGGAAATCCCTGCCCACCTGGTCCTACGATCTGACTCAATTTTTATTCTCTGCCTGTTCTCGATCCCTACCCCACCACCCAGGCTTTTCACCCCTGTTCAGCCTCGTTCTTGTTTGGTTTTATTCTATTTTCTTTCTCTTGTACCTGTACTCGCCCTGCATACATGCATGCATGCGCGAGCCGCTACTGATTGCCCGCACCCTCGCCTCGCTCTTCGCCCGTCGGTCCTCTGGGCCACATTTTTTTTTCTACACTTGTTTTTTATTGCTTCGTTTCCCTGCCGTGCCGAGCCGTTTCGTTTCGTTTCCTGTCCCTCTGACAAATCAATTTTCCAGCCCATCAACCGATATATGCCAATGGCTCTGCGCCTTCGCCTCAATCACCACAGCTGCAGTCTCAGTCTCAGTCGCCCGCCCCGTGCAATTCCAGCAGCTACTCATCGTCGCCTCGTCAGCTGCCCTCAGACCTGCCCGACCCCATCCTCGAGGAAGGCATTGAGTCAGGAAGTGACTATCCTGCCGAGCCTGTGACCCCCACCAGTGCCAGCGGACGTCATTCGCAAGAGTGGGCCAGCTTCCCAACCGGCGCCCACTACAATTACCTACAGCCATCCTCCTCCGACGAGACCACCCAACAGCTTCCCGCCAACCCTCCTGCCTCTCTCCCCAAGACTCCTATCGTCGCCTCTGAATCCTCGACCCCGACCGAATCCCTCCAGCAAGGCGACGGCTGGAGGCCGGCAACCACCAGTACCATCGACGCCAGCCAGTCTGCTGTCATCGACGAGACAGAGCCCGAGCTCGACTCTGCCCCCCTTACACGACGCTCTACGCGAGGTTCTACCAGCAGCTTCAAACGCACAATGTCGAGTCTTTTCAGAAGATCGGCCCCTCAGGTCCCGATGCCCGCCCCACAGCCCAAGGACGACGGCGTAATATCCCGCATGTCTACCTCCGCCGCCGACTCTGCTCGCCCTCGCATTAGCACTGCCACGGCTCGTGAGAACGGTGGTCCCCCGCCCAGCAAGTCGAGTCGCCGTTTCTCCATGCACCGATCAACTGCGACCACTCGATCCAACACCCCGCCGTCGCCCACCTCGCCTCTCGAGATTTCCAACGGCGCAAACCACATGACCTCCCAGCCCGCCCAGTCAATTGTGTCCGAGTCTCTCCCCACCTCGGGCGATTTTTCGGCCAAGAAGAAGAATAGATCCTCCTCAGGTCTCAGCCTCGGCCTTCGCGGTCGTGCTGTTAATTTCGTCACCGGTCACGGCCCGGCCCACCGAAGAGATCGTGCAAGCAGCTTCGACTCGAACAAGCGAACTGACTCCCCCCACCACGTCGTGCAGCAACCCCCCTGCGAGAATGACAACCAACAGACGTACCCGCCTGAGCGACTTCCCTGGCCCCTGCCACCGGATGCTGGAACCGGTGCCAAGGCCCGCCGGATGAGTCTGAGTCTGCCCGATGACTTCACCGTCGATATCGTCGAGCTCACCAAGGAATTCGAATACGAGTCCAAGTTTCTCGGCCGCCATGGGAAGCATCTTGGAAAGGGTGCCGCCTCCAAGGTGACTCTCATGTCTCGCAAGGGCTGCCCCACCGAGTTGTACGCCGTCAAGGAATTCCGAGGCAAGTCGGGCCGTGAGAGCAAGGACGACTACGACAAGAAGATCAAGTCCGAGTACAGCATCGCCAAGAGCTTGCATCACCCCAACATTATTGAGACTTTCCGCCTCTGCACCGACCACTCGCGTTGGAACCACGTCATGGAGTACTGTTCCGAGGGTGATTTGTTCAGTCTGGTTTCCAAGGGATGGTTGAAGCCCGAGGACAAGAAGAAGGATCGTCTCTGCCTCTTCAAGCAGCTCATCCAGGGTGTCAACTACCTCCACAACAACGGTATCGCCCATCGGGACATCAAGTTGGAGAATCTGCTCATCACCAAGGACAGCAAGCTCAAGATCACTGATTTTGGTGTTTCCGAGGTCTTCTGCGGCACGCACCCTGGTGTGCGCGAATCTGGTGGCCAGTGCGGCCAGAACATGGGCGACATCCGCCTTTGCTCACCCGGCATTTGCGGCAGTGAGCCCTATATCGCACCCGAGGTGCTCGCCAAGAAGAGCGAGTACGATCCCCGTGCCCTGGATGTCTGGAGCTCCGCCGTTGTCATGGTCTATCTCATCTTCGGCGGTGCCATCTGGCCTCGTGCTGAGCCCGGCACCAACAAGGTGTACGACAATCTCGTAAAAGGCTGGGACAAGTGGTACAGCAAACACCCCGATCCTGATGCCACCATCACCGAGACGGATTACCCCCATTGCACCGCTCTTGATTTCGCTGTCAGCCCCCCTGCCTTGAGACGCTTGATGCTGCAGATGCTCAACCCTGATCCCAGCCGCCGCATCTCCATCAGCCAGGTGATGACCAACCGCTGGCTGAAGAACGTCGAGTGTTGCCAGGCTGAGTCGTACGACGACCCAACCCGCGTCATCGACGCCAGCAAGCCTGATGCTTCCTGGAACGGGCCCAGAAAGATCTTCTGCCATAGCCATCTGCCTCCCAAGACCAAGGGGTCTCACTCCCTCGGAGCCATGCCTGGCCAGCCAGGATATTAAGAAGTCCACCTCACGGGGACATAGAAAGGAAACATGGTTTCCGTTATTGTTTCCATTATTAGCACATTTATTTCCCCGCATTGTAAGCACAATAGCTTACAAATAAGCATCAACACCGCATCATGTCTCTTCAGCGAGAGGAAAGAGAAGCAAGCTACTACTACTTTATTCGTTAAATGATATATACTTGACGCCCGGGATTCGGAAGAAGACCCCCCGGGACACAACTTATGGTTGTAATAGAAGACTACAGTACGGCATATTGGCCACAAAAATGACTCAATTTGAATCCGTTTCACCCTTTATGATCCACCAACTTTCATGACCAGCTAAGCACGCGCGCAATAATCTTCATTCTTTTGAACCGTGACGCCGGAACGACCAACGAGCGGCGACGTGACACAGATGGTAGGGTTGTTGAGCCGAGGTTAGTTGGGGTTGGAGCAGGACAAGACGGAAGTGGCTTCTGTCGCAGCCTGATTGATGAATCTCCTTCCTCGTCCCTGGCTCTAGGGAGCTTAATTAATCTATTTGGTGAAAGCGAGGCGTCGGATACGGGAGGTCAAGGAGGGGCTCGAATGAGAGGTGCAAAATTGTTTTCTGTCCTTTTTCTTTTTTAAATACCTCCCTCGGGCCCTGGCACTCCCCGTTGGTCTAAATTGACTTTTTGAAAACTTCCCCGGTTCCCCCCTCTTTCGTGAAACGTCTGATCTGGAGCTGTCTCCGCCCCCGTAGTTTGGCTTGGCCGCGTGGCTGAGACTTGGCGTGGATGCTGTGCGTTCGGGAGGGGGATTTAGAGTATTTAGGCTCTGGCTCCGAGACATGCGTTTTGGCACAGCGGCTTCGGCCGGTTTGGTCACACGAGGGTACGGTATGGTACGGTAGGGCCTGAGATGGTGCGTAGAGAGCCTCGAGTATTATCTAGATATGTGGTATCCCTGTAACAAAGCCCGTGCCAACAAAAGAAGAAGAAAAAGATCAAGAATCCCAAACTATGCCGAGTAGAGAAGATAGAATTATCACGTCCAGCTAATGTAGAAGACGGAGCAGTTCACGCACGGCCCCATGCCATACCATGCCATACCATGCCATGTCATCCCTTGGTAGGAATCATGCCCCTCACGCCAGCTTCTTCTGCATCAGGTCGGCAAGCTCATCGAGCAGGTCGACCGTCTCGGCCGGGCTGGCGATCCAGGCGGTGGTGCCGACGCGGCGGGCCTTGAAGTCGTTGGCCCCGGCGCTGAGGAACTGGTCGCCGACGTGGAGGGTGTTCTCGCCGCGGATGGCGGCGCCGGCGGCGCCGAACCACTGCTGGCAGACGGTGACGCCCCAGGACTTGTCGCCGATGTCGACGAAGACGTCGCGGCCGCCGTTGAAGGCGCAGAAGGGGACGCCCCGCTTGGGGAGGGGGTTCCCTCCCGCGGCGGCCACGCGGGGGGCGAGGCTGGTGCTGGTGGTGGCGGAGATGCCGAGGGAGTGGGACTCGAGGATGCGCTGGACGACGAGGACGGTCTCCTCGAGGGACTCGCGGGCGATGCGGGTGTCCGGGTCGGTGGGGATGATGCCGACGGCGCGGTCCTTGCGGAGGATGGTGGCGGGGAGCTTCATGGTGCGGACGCACTCCTTGAGGGCGGACTCGGCGACGTCGAGGAGGGCGGTGATGTCGGGCTCGGACCAGGCGGCCATCTCCGGGGTCAGCCAGCTGGCGCGGGGGACGGGGGCGAGGCGGTAGGGCGAGGAGGGGGAGAACTCGAACAGGTAGTTGTCCTCGCCGCCCATGATGACGATGTTCTGCTTCTGGATGGGGTCGAGGTCCTTGGAGGTGGCGATGGCGTCGAGCAGGCCGTGGAGGCGCTCGTAGTACCGTTCTGCCGTGGTGTAGCCCGCGGCTGTGACGATGCCGATCTTGATGTTCTTGCGGAGAAGGTCTGCATACGGTCAGTAGGCACATTCCATCCGTTGTTTAAAGGATCCGTCACCAAAGGCACAGAATAAGGACAGAGGAGGCTGAAAAGACTGACCCAAAAGTCTGGGCACGACAGGACTGTCCGGCTCCAGACTCTTCCCGTCGTCGTACAGGGTGACATCACCATCGAACGTGGCCAGCTGGAGGGCGCCCCCCGTCACGGCCATGAGCTGCGCCGAGTTGAGGACGAGCCGCACGTCGTTGAAGGACGGGGCGACGTACCTCCGCGACGAGATGTGGCGCTTGCGGTCCTGGTACTTGAAGGCGGCCTCGAGGGGCAGGCGGGTGAAGAAGGGCCCGGCCGTGGGGACGAGCATGAGCAGCTTGGAGGGGAAGGCCTCGTCGTGGCCCTGGATGGTCACTGCGGGGCAGAGGTCAGCCTTGGGAACTTCATTCATCCACTCGTGGAGAGCTCGAGATGGTGGAGCTACGAACTGTGGTCGTCAATCATCCGCTCGACGTCACGCATGATCTCTGCGTATCGGCGGTGAGACTCCTCGGCCATCCTGTCAACATTCGTGCCGTCGCCAAAGACTCCTGTGGGCTCCGAGTACAGCACGAAGGGCACGGCGAGGAGGCCCTTGACCCATTCTAGCAGGCACGTAGATAATGTTAGCACATGTGTTGTGGGAGCAAAAGAATGGACTCGCGATATGCCCCAGTCCATTGATCATGGTTGCCGCGGGGTCACATGAGAGAGACGGGCGGCATCCTACCTATGAATTGGTCACGCCTGTGCGTCTTGAGAGCATCTAGACGGCAAAAGTCTGTTAGCGATCATGCCAGAGCAGACCCATTAAGCCGTGGAGGTCGGGTTGGGGCATGGTAGGCTCACACTCGACGCGATATCGGGTCGTCATGTTGGGCGCGTGAGGTCGAGCAAGCAGGCGGAAGGGAGGAGGGAGGGGCTGAGGTGAGCTCTCAGATGATGTCACCGAGCGGATGCGGGCAGGCTTCAATTTGGTCCAGGGAGAGCCAGGCTGTCCGAAGTGTATCGCTTCCCTGGGATGAGGCAAGAGAAAATGAGAATTGGCTGCTGGAAAGCAAAGAAAGAATGGGCGTCGTGGCCACCGAGATGGCAGTTGGGCTGGTGAGGGGGAAAGGCGGTGGTCGTGAGTGGCTTGACCTGTGTGGCAGCGGCGAGCTCCGACACCGCACTAGCAGGAGCTACTTGGCGGTACCTTCATCTCACAGTTATGACATATGGGTACTCATGTCTCAACCAGGTATCGATAATATGGTTCTCGTGTGGCGCTGAGCTCCGAGATGAGACAGACACTGTCCCGAATGTTGCACATGGCACATGACTCCTTTCTCTTCTCTGCCCCTTTTCCTGCCCAATCTCCTAGGTACGGTATGAAGCGGTGAGGCAGCCGATATCGTGAGCCTCAATTCCGCCTGTTGAAATGAGGAAGGACAGGTTTCCCCTCCAACGTAGACGTGGCTCGCTCGTTGTTTGTTTATAGTTGCCAAATCCCGGTCCCGTCACACAGATGCCCCAGTCGGTCGATCCTCCGGCAGATCAGCTCCATGGCATTTGGCATGGCATCCCTGGTCTTGATGCATTGCCGTGCGCGTCTGAACATGCTCCATCTCGTCAAACGGCAGTTTATTAATATCCCCCGAGCTGTACACCCACGTACGTACGTCCAGTCCATGCAGCTGGGCTTGCGCATGGCAACCGGGTCCTGTGCAACAAGAACAGCCTCAAATCACTGCCCATCTGTAACACTCTCACTCTCACTCTCACTCACAGAAACATCACACTCGTTGGAACAATCAGCAGTGAATAATCATTCGCTCATGCCTCCTTTCCCCCCTTCCCCCCACCCGTCCGCGCACGACAAACAAAACTACCTAGCTCAAAATTAGTAGGCTCAACGTATATAACAAGAAAGATTGTCCATCGCTAAGGTATGCCTTCTTTGCCAGACTCAAATTTCCAGACACGTCCGGGGTGTGCGCGTGCAGACGGGCCAACCTCCCTCTCCCAGCCTTGAACATGTTTGCGCTATCTAAGTAATGCCCCCCCTCGCCCCCTCTCTCTTTTTTTGGTGTTTGCCTTCTTTTTTTCTCTCTTGTGTGAATTTTTTTCTCTCTTCTTCTCTCTGGTGAGTCCCAATACTTGTAGATCGTCATTTTCGTCATTTTTTGGTGGGAATTTTAGTCTTGTTTTTTGTTTCTTGGCTTGGTCTTTCCTCTCTGACTTGCTTGCTTTGCCGCTTTGCTCCCTTTAAAGAATCCCCGGCTCGGCTCCTCCACAGCTCTAAAAAGTGACAATGCTTGGTCGGACACGGCTTGGTCCCTTTCAGATGCTTTCATGACAGTATCTTGGTATATATATTCCTCCCATCACCCGCTCATCAAAGGGTACAGGCCCTTAGCTGGCGGCCGAGCTTCCTCCCTGCTGCTCAGCAAGGAGCTTGGCCTGCGCCTGCTGTTCCAACTGCAGCTGCTCCATCGCGATCTCGTCCGCTCGGACCATTACGCTCTGCATCACGCTCTGGTGCTCGCCAGAGAGGGAGCTCGTCAGCGAGCTGTAGAATTCTGGCTGCTCTTGTTGCATTCCTATATCCGGCTCGTCAGTCTCCGTCCGTCCTTCACGTACACGGGCACATCTCTCCACTCACTCATCATGGTGGCCTTGAGCAGGCCGTATGGCTCAACTTTATCCAATGGGGAGTCGAGGAAGTTATCCTCGCCCAGATCCATATCATCCGATGGCATAACGCTGCTAAACTTCTGTGCCTGTTCCCATGGTCATCGGTCAGTATCACCATGCTTTGCGTAATTGTATCTGTAGCTTAATGTGAACCAACCTCGTCGTGCAGCAACTTCAGGTAAGCGGCACCCTCATCTGTGACATCGGCAGATGTCTCTTGTTCGGCAGGCTCTTCTCCAGCCCAGTTGGAACCGTCGTCGGGCCACTCCTCATCATCAGCATAGTCGTAGGAGTCCAAGTGGAAGTCATCCCGGAGGGCGTCGTCGCGCTCTAGTTCTCGTTAGCATTATGCTTGTGTCTACGAAGTCGCTGCCGTGGGTGAACACTCACTCTTCATGGCGTTGGGCAGGGTTCTGAATAGGTCTGTAATGCCCTCCAGCAGCTTGGGCCACCCCACAGAGATACTGGCTGGCACCTGGTCGTGGTTGAGGTTCAGCAGGGCGGTGATGGCGATGATGGAAAGCTTCTTGTCGTGGACTCGGGTGAAGTAGGCCATGTTGCCGAACCACAGGGTGAAGAAGCGGTTGGTCCAGCCCTTGTTCTCTAGAATCTGCAGAGACAGGAGGGGGTTGTAGTTGATGGCGTTGATCACCATCTCCATGAGGTGGATCCGGATGCTCAGGACCTTGACCTCATCCTCTGACGCCAGAATGGTCATAGCCACGACGATGAAGCCCTCGATGCAGCTGTCAATGTGGCCCCGGAGGCAAAGCATCATCGCTTCGGCAAGCTTGCAGGCGCTGACTCTCTCCAGACCCTGGGCTTGGGTGGTGAACATGTCGGTGATCATGGAATACAAGGCCTGGACATATTCGGGCTTCTGCACCAGCTGGGGCGCACCGTACTGGACGATGTTGTCGAGGGCTGGGAGCATGTCCTCGAGGTAGTACTCGGCACCTGCCTTAAAGGTGCTGTGAATCAACTCGAAGGCCTGCCACATGCAGGGCGAGATTCTCTTGGCCGCAAATGTGCAGCTGTCGATGATCTCAAACACCTCGTTGTACAGATCTGTCGCACGTTAGCATCATTTCAGCAATAACAGCAACCACCGCAGCAAATTCAGGGCTGGCTTGCAGGAAAAGGAGACCATTTTACCGTAGAGCTTGTTTTCCAAGGTTATCTTGATGACGGGAATGAGAACCTGCTCAATGTGGAGTAGCACGTCCGGAGTGCTCTCCAAGGTCAGAATCAGAGTACCAATGGTCTGCAGCACACCAAGGGCGGTGATACTCTTGTCATCGTACTCGCTGAACGCTTCGCCATCGTCGTTGCCCTTCTCCTTCTCGAGAACCTCGTTGACAATGCGCAGGTACGTGTCACGGAGCTGCTCGGAGAGAGCAACGGCGTAGGGCGTGAGCTCGGTCGAGAAGACCTCCACGAAATCCTCCATCACGTTGGCGAGGGCGTCGACGTCGGCTTCGTTGGCCAGCTTGAGGAGCTGCTGCATGATGGTGGGGATGCTCGTCTGCATGGTGTTGCGGACCGCGTCGTGGCGGATCAGTGGCTGGAGGGCGAGGGCGGCCGTGATCCGTACGGGCAGGGACTCGTCTGCCATGCAGTCCAGGATGTGGCGGTAGATGATCATCAGGTTGTTCTCGTCCTGGAAATCAAGCTGCTCGAACTTCTCGACAGTATCGCAAGCTCGGGCTCGGAGATATCCTTGGCTGCTCTTGAACTCGGGGATGACGTAGCGGACAATGAAGTATTCCACCTGGCCCGCAATGGGGCTCTTCTTCCCAAGGATGACGGGAGCAAGCGTACCAATCATCCTCAGAGCGCCCTCCTTGGCCACGTGGTTCTTCTTGTCGTCCGGGTTCTGCTCATACTCGTTGACAATGTCATTGACGAATTTGAGGATCTGGAAGGTCTCGAAGCGTCGGTGCTTTGTCAGGTTGACCAGGAAGTTGACACCTGCGATATCGGGCGAGGAACCGTCTTCGAAGTAGTTAAGCTTGCGGTGGAGGTACTCCTCGGGCTCTTCCTCGAACTGCTCGAGATCTTCTTGGGTAAGACACAGAATGGGGAAGACGAAGTGGGTGACGAGGTTGGTGAGATGAGGTTTCAGGTGCGTCCACATCTCCTTCGGTCGGACTGACTCATCCAGGAAGACCAGAGTATATGTGAGGCAGGGTCGGCTCAGCCATGACGTCTTGGCAACCCACTTCTCAATCTCCTGCAGGTAGTGCTTGAGGATCTCGGGCGCAATGTTGGCAACAAAGTTCTTCGCGAATCGGGCGCCGACGTCGCCGTCTCCCGGGGTTGTTGGGTTTCCTTGCCTGGGTTGGAAGTCAGCTACCACGAGGTCTCAGATGGGATCGGCAATCCCTTCACACAAAAAGAAAAAGCCGAGAAAAAAAAAAAGGTCAAGGACAGTACCTGATGAAAAGACGGTTCAGGTTGTAATACGCCCACTTCTTGGCCTTCCACCAGTGGTTCCTCTCGCGGTCGACACTATCACCTACCATGGCGCTGGCCGGGGGCGTTTTGGAGACTGTTTGGAGCAGGACGGTACACCAGCCGATGTTGACCTGCTCCTGGCGGAGATGGGGGGTCAGTTCCAGCTGCAAGTTCTCCCAGGTTAGCAAAAAACGACGGGACCAAACTGCCGGCAGCGAGATCTCTTACGTATGTGGCATGCTTGTAGGTCTTGAGGGCCAGGTGCAGCATCTGGCCCGCCTCGTCGCTCTCCTGAGTCACCAGCTCGTTGCAGATGGCCAGCAGCCGGGGGAAGCTGGCCTCGATGATCTTGCCGAAGTGCTGCCTATCCTGGCTCTGGACCGACTTGTAGCGGAATGCGCGGCAGATGGCTAGCAGGCACTGCACGCCGGCGAGGACGGAGCTGGGGGTGTTCGTGTTGAGGAGCTCCATGGTGAAGTCCATGAAGCGAGGCCATCGGCTGGGGAAGTCGAACTGTAGGATTCGTTGCAGGACGGGGATGAGCTGCTGGCGGACGAGAGGCTCGGACGAGGCCAGGAGGGGCACGACGCGATCGCGCACGCGGGACTTTTCTTCTTCGTTGATCGGAACCACATTGTCGGGGATTTTGTGGTCGGGGGCGAACCAGGCTCGGTTGACCCGGTTCTTGATATAGATGACGGCTGGGGACGGATATCGTTAACGCAACTTGATTCTAGGGAC